GACAGGTATATATAACGGTACAGGTTTACGAGGGGATTAGACTTAGGAGTTGTTGAACTGTTTAGGGGATTAACTCAACCGCAAAATTATTAAGGAGCTGGGCCCAGCCCCATGGAGGAACTCATTGCATTTTCACTGTGTTTTTGTTTGACCTGAAGGTGTCCTCATCGGATAATGTTCACGGCGATTTCACCAGATCTCCGCCGTTGAATTGCCGTGAAAAAAATAAATGTATGGGTGAAACTGCAGCTTCACGTATCGCCGCAATTTCGCGGTGCCGAAATTCATATAATAGTGTGAAGTGAACATTCCAATCATTGTGGATCAAAGGTGCACGTCGTCCCGGAGACAGGAACTGAAGTCAATCTCCTCATAAAAAAATTGCTCTTATTTATACAAACCCAAGGGTAATCTCCAGTTGCGTATAACAGCCACAAAGGACTACGCCCTTTGCTACTATCCATTGCTGTGAACATATGGCTTGTACGTGTTCGCGCGGCTCCATCGCCTTGAGCATGCAGAAATCTACTTCCAGAGAGCCAGTGTGACTTTCGCTCGGGACAGTCGACTTGGTATTCTTTGCACGCCAAGTCTGCATAGCTTCATTGAGGCATTTGAAACGGTCAGTAGGCCTATAGAAATGGACAAGTTTATGTTGTCCACCAGTGCCATGACGACACTATACTGCATGACGGGGAATACTTTCCCGTAACCAACGATATAAACCGGCTTAAGTTGTGCTCTCGTGACGGTCCGTTCTGCCATGCTTCGAAACGCTTTCCAAACAAGTGAAGTGACAAAATACAAGACTGACGGAAAAGCTATTCGATATCGGGCGTAGACTGGCGTACTTTGCTGACGATTGCGCCCTCAACGCTAGTCTGAGTATCCGTTGATCAGGTACGGTACGGAGCCTCCGTGTCCAACGTCTGATATATCTGAGCAATGCACATTTTGTGCGACTCCGCGCGCCAGCCAATCGGAGTCGACATTAGACATTGCGACGTCATAATTCGATCGGAAATGTGGACTAAGCTGTTGATTGGTCAATTTGGGTGAAAGTTTTTTTTGTGTAATAGGCCTACAACAACGGGTTTATACGGAAGACCCGATACAAGGCGCACGCCCGCTGAATGGACAGAATCTGGAGGTCAAAACGCATAATTAATCGCCGAATCTGCTCGCATATTCCTTAGAGTACCTCAACGCCGGCTCTGAAAAGGACATGGAGACCATTAGGTATATGGAAGAGTTTTCTGCAGTATGTCAAATGGTTGTCACCTATAATAGCACACAAAGACAGAAGTCGTCTGTCAGCCTGACCCTGGAAGGCTCTATTGAGCCGTGCTTCAGGATGAAAAGGCAGCGCTCGTGAGCTCACTTCCCCTGTATGCTAAGTGGAAAGTGGGCTTTTCCAATTGGCACAGCAGGCAACTCATCCATTTCCACGTAGCATGCCTATGCCCATGTCCACTGACATTCACACGAGGCCACTATCCTGAGCGTCTTCTCACTGAGGCAGACTATGCCCGGGTCAGTCGGGCAGGGCCTGTCCACATCTCGGTTGAATGACATTAAGGAGTTACCTAACAGTGATCCCTGTGAGGCCACACGCTCAGGATCTTGTATGGTGGAATTCTTCGTCGGAAGATGTTGCTCTTTGTACTTCTTTGTGCTAGCATGCAGCTAAAAGAAGAAACGATAAAAATGACTCACGGAAAGTGTCCTTGAAAAGCTGCAACATCTAGTTCATCTCCTTGGAGATCCGTGCTCAAGTTCGTCCCTCCTCGCGAAGCAGTGTCACATCTGAAGCCCACAGTGCAGAGCAGCAAAGAACTGTTGAAGCACAGAGAAACAAAATAATTTTTTCTTAATGTACAACACGTGTTCGAATTTGACTCATCTCAGACTCTATAATGTCCAGACACTGTTAAAACCCTTAAACCAAAGGGTGAGGCTCATGTCGCCTCCGCCAGTGGAAGGACACCATCTTTTTCAAACTCAACTGTCAAGTCTTTCTTGAGTTAAACAGAATAATTCCGGGTTCCTGAGCATGGTTGATGGTAATCTCTGCTCTCCCCCGAGCAGTTAATTCTCGTCAATATCAGCTAATTTACAACTGATGCCGGTACTCATAATTCACGTATACTCAGTGCTTGAAGAGAGACGGTCACAGACTGTACGTACAGTACATGGATTCCCAGAGAACAAAGCTATACAGTAGTTGCTATATTAATTAGTACAGCTCTAGCTCTGAATGATCCAATCACATCACCAGCTGCCTTATTCCGAGCTTTATTCCGTGTCTTGTTTCTTGTATAAACCCGTCAGCGATTGGCAAGTTGGAGTCACGTGGCTTATTTGCCTTACTTAATTGGCTTGTTGCTGGATTCGAACTCACTAGTGCGGCTCTCGATTCACACGACCAGCACCGTCTTAAATACCATAACGTATACGTTGGCAAGTGAGGGTAAACTAGCTTGTTGGAACACAAGACATTATAATTGCCAGGAGTTGGACTCGAAACACTGCCATCATCGAATTGCTCTCTTCAAGGCCATACTATCAATGTTATACTCCAAGCTTGTGGTGGTAAGCCTAAGTTGGAGTAAAGTGAGACCTTCCAATCCCATCCACCAAGTGATATGGTGCTCGGCGCTGTCATTACTTTATTAATTCCCAGCTAATTATCTGCATGGTGGATACAATTTTGCGCCGGTGGAGACTGAAAGGTGGGAGTAATTAGGTCTACCGTGAGCGCACAGCACTTGGTATTTTGTACACGGGCTTCGCTTGAGGGGGGGGGGGGGGGGGAGGCGGAGGGCCGGTGTCCGGAAAAAAAACCTGCCCTATAAGCACGAATGGTCTGTCAATCGGCAAATTGCTGTCCGCCTGGGGTCTTTTGTCAAACATCCACGAATAGCGCCACCCACTGGTCCAAGATATCGTCCGTTTTGAACAGCAACCCAAAAGTCAGATGGTCATAACTTAAACTCCTCCCCCTTGATTTTGCGGTGGCTTGCAAAAACTCCAGACAACCTTCCAGCGTAGATGGTGTGTCGGCAGATGTGTTTTAACTAACACATATACTACCCCCCCCCCCCTGAAAAGTTGGGACACTCTCGTGTCAAGCGAGAGACCTCATGACTTGTTTCACTTCGGGGGGGGGGGGGGTGAGATACTAAACCGCCTAAAAGTCGGCATTGAAGTTGCACGATATGCATCTGCATCAGAGTCCAGTATTAAATATTCGCCACTGGCGTGCTGACCCAGTCCTAACTGCTCAACTGCACTATTAGCAAAACTTGGGAGCACAATATGGTACCCTACTAATTACTCAATGGGTCCCGTCATCACCGTGACCACGACGCCGGGCAGTGCCGGCTCAGGTCTGGTCGACTCTTGATTTTTGTCCGAGTCCGGCTCAAATCCTTTGAAGTCGAGATTGTCAATAGCCAAGTCTGAGTCAAGTTACAAATAAGTTTTTATGGCGGAACACGTGCGCGCACTACACTGCGAATAAAGTGGCTGTCGAATCGGTCTCTAATTGCCAGGCAAGACCTAAATGTGATCACTAAAAAAGCGACACAATTTTAAAAACATTAAACGAAACGGTTTTAAAAGTTTAAACACATTTTTTTTTTTTATAAACTCGATTCAAATACGACAGGTAGTCCGATATGGAGTCAGCCACTATTCCCAGTCCGAGCTAATTAAGCCGAGTCCAAAAGGTCACGAGTCCAACTTGAACTCCCAGCCGAGTCACGAGTCGAGTCCAAAACAAATATATTGGACTGACTGGGTCCATAATAATTTTGCAGTTTATGTTTTCTAGCAACCGAACCGTACATAAAATTATGATCGACATACAATTAACTTTGGTGCAGTGCTAGTAATTTGCAAACGCCGCCAATTATAGTGACCCGCCTACACATCAGGCCTACACTTTTCGTTGTGGAAAGAAATGCCCAGCAAAAACACTGTTGAGAGGCTCTCAGTCTGCAATAAACCATCACCTTCGCACTGAGTTTTGTACTTTCAAGCATGAAAGCAAGACCACGTTCATTTTAGAGCGGGAGCCGGGGGGGGGGGGGGGGGTTCAGCCTAGCTGGAAAGTTAACCAATTTTCATGTATGCAGCAATGTTCCACATGCATACCAATGTAAGGAAATGGACGTCTGCCGGGCACACTGTGGTGGGTATGGTCAGGAGGGCCATGAGAAAGGGGCCACAAAATTGAGCTAGATCAGCTGGTGAGCTAATTAATCCAATGAAACCTACTGGAAAATGTTGGGCCTAGTCCCAGGTATCATGAATGGCCACTGCCAGACATTTTCAGTGGTGGAAAGTGCCCGCCAGACATGAAAAACCTGTATAGGAGGGGGCGTGGCCATAACCCCCTCCCATTCCTTTTCGCCTTTTCTTCCAGTGAAAGAGCTCAGGGGGCGTGTACGTTGCCTATAACTTTACGTACACGATAACGGCCTATCTGGGCCTCGCCGCTTGTACGTGTATGGCCCGATTTGATCATGAGATCTGAAAACAAAATGCATGAGAAAAACTTCATGTTTATACCGATCAAAATTCATGTTTTTGGCCCAGAGAATTACTTCCTCAACATTTCGATGAGTTCCTCATCATCGACCGTCAAAAATAGAACTGATGTCATTATTTACAATGAAAAAGTTCGGTGAACGGCACAATAAAAAGGCAGAGTTTTATTGTGTGCCGCGCCACGCTGTGCCAGGCACATATCGACACACGATCAAGTATTATAAAATACAGAAAAACAGGCCGGATAACAGCAAAGCGCGGAGTAATAATGTTAAAAGAAATTGTCGCACTTCATCTGTCGAACGACGTTTTTAAAATACACAGCAGTAAATTTTGTTCTCATTTTCTAAAACACATTCGCTGAAATCCATAATTTAGAAAATATTTCGTGTTTGTTTAGGGGCACTATTTTAGTTGCGAGTAGGAATATTAACTCGTGCCCCTTCATAAATTTACATGCGCACGTATATGTAAACAGATACCATTCAAAATGGCGACTGCCATGAACATCGTTTTGGGAATAATCCTGATTTTAGGGTTATTTTCGCCAGAGCTGGAGGCCACCAGGTTCGGCTCGAAGGCAAAGACCATTCACTTCCGCTCAGCAAAAGGGAAGGACGACTTAGGGGAGGGGTACCAGAGGTTCAGACGGCCAAGTGAAGACCAGCAATCTGCCTCGCACTTGCGCGAAACAAGGTCGGCTGACACTGACGGGCAAAGTCGGGATGAACACGACAAGGCGAAAGTGACAGCCGTAAGTTTTCTTTTGAAAAAAAAAAATTGGATTTATTGTTGTAATATATTAACAAAAGCTTTGTGCAGCCTTATTTTTTTTAATGAATTGATAGCTGTCATATTAACAGAGAAGATGCGAAAAAGCTCAGGTTAGGCCGGAAAAAATGTTCAAATTTTCTTGACTCTCCATTGACTTTGTACACAATCGCGGAAGTGGCCACGGGTGGCGTCAGGTTGCAACATGATGTTGCAACCTGACGCCACTGTGGCCACTTCCACGATTGTGTACAACTACAACTACAAAGTCAAGAAAGTTATTAAGTATTTCCTATCAAAATTGGAAATGTTTCTCAGTCCCAGATTCATGTCAAATATCATTTTCGCAGTCCGTAACGCATTTCCCATTTTCTATCGTTACGGTAGACTGCAACTTTTATAAAAACATGAGAAGAAAATATAAAATTAGAAGGAAAAAAGTGAATTTGAATGTTATGAAATTCGGACTTTATTTCTCTTTTAAAAAAAATCCTCCAAAGCCTCAGGTTAGAAAAGGAAAAAAAATTTGAATGCAAAACTGAGATGCGAACCCGCAACCTCGCGGTGCAAAATCCTACCCTCTATCGACTGAGCTGTCGCACTACTTGCTGGAACGTGGGGAAACAAATAATTATATACCTGCGTGCGTATCAAAAAAGTATCGTAGAGGGCGCTAAACAACGGCTGCCGTAACGATAGCCACTTCGTATAATTTTTGCAATGAATGGCCTTCATTCACTTGTTGAGATGGTATGAGGAAAAAAATGGCGTCAGGTTGCAACATTTTTTCCAAGGCATTAGGCCTACATGTACTCCTGATCCTAGTGAAAGGCTATCGTCATGATCGTACGACAGCAATTGTGTAGTTTAAGACCCTATTCCATTAAAGGGACACTACGGTAGGTCCTGGAACAGCCCAATTGGTCTACAAAACGCGCTTTGAACGAGATGATGATAATCGGAAATAACATTTAAAAGTAGGATAGGCCTATAGGCCTAAACATCCACACAACTATCCTTTCAAAACTGGGCGTTTTTGTGGTATTCCTGTATTACGCATGCGAGAACTAATTTCGGGGTCCTCTTTTGCGACCCCATAAATTCGAGCTGTTTGGATGATAATTGTGGTTTCATTCGTACGCGTAAAGTGTTCGCCTTTTGCGGACGTTGAAGAAACCACATTTTTTTGCATTTGTGATTGCATTGGTCACTGCGCGCTGTTCAGACACACAACGTGTATAGTGTACACCGAGAACGACACGAAAAACGTATTCGTACTCCGTCATGTCCGATGTAAACAAGCGGGTTCTTTTTCGTCTTTTCTCGGGAACGGGAAGACATTTAGGTTGGTTTCCTTTCAACCAGATGTTTGAAATAGGCTACAGGGGTGTGAGAATTCAGCTTTTTAGCTGATTTCAGCTTTTTTTGTCTAGATTTGTACTCTGAATTTCAGCTTTTTTGTACACCTACTCTGTACAATATTATGGGAAGTGATTAAATTTCAGCTCTTTTCTGGCTGTTTTCAGCTTTTTTTGCATGTGGCCACTCACACCCCTGAGGCTAAGTAAACAATCCAAAACATAACATTTTCGGGGATTTCAAGACCTAGTGCCCCTTTAATACTATAGTAAGAGAACGAAAGACACTTTGTTTTGGGGCTTAATAATACCTATGGTAAACATTTTTGTCCTATTTTTGTCGCTAACGTTAGCCCGAAAACAAGCTGATGTGTGTGACGTCATGGGATTGTCCTGTACAGCTATTGCATGTTTCTCACGTGTGTGGCAGTGGCATACGACTTGACTGTGGCGAAGTTAAATACTACTTCTGTACATTGATCGGCCGTTGATAAAATAGCAATCTTTTTGGGGGCAATTTTCCCGCGCTCCAACCAAACGACTATTTCATTATCGTCTTGGAATTATTTTCTGTGTACTTGGTATAGGCCTAATGTATATAAAATGCCAATTTTTGTATTGAGTAAATGTGAAACGGAATTTTTCAGCCTGAAACGGACTTTAGGATTTTTGCAAACGGAATTTGCACTTTTCTGAAACGGAAAATCATTGGCCCTACACTTTATGTGTTTGGAATCATCTCAACCAAGTGCCTATACTATAGCCAAGACTAGTTAGGCAAAGTAAAAAAAAAACAAGTTTGTCGTCCCCGCCCGCTTCCTTTTTGGAGGCCGCCTGTGTTTTTTTAATTATTTTTTATTTTTGAAAAATGCAGTAAAAACACTGAAAAAGTCCACAAATTCATCGGAAAATAAATACTTGCGAAATATGTGAGTCAAAGTTTTCAGTAGACCGGTAGACTCTGTCGGTCACTTTGTACACCACATAATATCGACGTGTGATTGCTACCCCTGCGACAGTGCGAGCATGGCGAGTTCACAACAACTCACCCACTTGGTTCCCAGACCAAAAGATTCTGACTATTCCTGATGAATCTACGCGCCCATGGAGTCGAGGCTGAGACGTGAGCGTCAGGAATAACTGTCAGGTCTAGGGAACCAGACTACGTACATGTATGTCTATTGATAGTTTTAGACTTCAGTCTGCCGTACTGTATGCGGTAAATGCCGACTTCAAAGTCAGAATGCAACCGGTATGAGACTAGCTCACGCTGGAGCACGTGTTTAAGGAATTCGCTCGCGACTTTTTTTCAAAAACCCGGACGAGAAACTTTTTTTTTTACTCGGCCTTACATGTATTTAGCTTAATTTTGTGGACAGAGGGAAGGGTCAGGGATTTGATTTATGAACAGAACTTGTAAAACATAAGGCCGAATACAAAAAAAAAACATGTTTCTCCTCCGGGTTTTTGAAAAAAGGAGGAAGAGGGGCTTTTTATTTATTATTTTTTATTTTTTTCAAGATGGCTGCCATTTTAAAATGTCCAGCAACCGTTGGTGTTTCCACTGTTCAGAGACACTTTTAACATGAAAGACAAGCTGGACAAGAGAACTGAACATATTTACAGTGTCATTTAGAGTTGTATTGGTCTACAATGAACAGTTTTAGATGCATTTGCTTTAACCACCTCATTTGTGGACTTTTTCGTTGTTTTTTACTGCATGTTTCCAAAATAAAAAATAATAAAAAAATCCAGGCGGCCTCCAAAAAGGAAGCGGGCGGGGACGAGAAACATGTTTTTTTAACCTCGCCTAAGAGGTGTCCTAAACTACACGATTACCGTTACGACAGCCGTAACGCAACTTTAAAGTACTATTGTTGCGGCATTGTAAAAAAGTCAATGCGCGCGAATACATGTACCAGTATATCATCAGATTTACAACTGCCCGTACAACCAGAACGCTTCGGTAGCTCGACCAATTGAAGTTGGTTACACCTTAGGTGATTGAGCTTGGGATCCACGTTCGAAACCCCTGCCACGATACTTAATTTAAAACAAAAAGTTTGAATAGGTTTCGTAACTTTTAGCTTTTTAATCAAATTTTTCCTTTTATTTGAGAGTAGATGTCATTTTCTTCATTGAAATCAGTGGTTTTGGAGGATTTTTTTAAAAAGGGAAACAAAGTCCGAAATTTAGTTGATTGAATGGTTCCCAACAGTCAAAGATCGTGACGTTGAATACTGAAGGACAGTTCTGTAACGATAACATTAACCCTAACCGCCCTGAATCCTCCAAAATCCTTTTTGCAAATTGGAGGAATTTGCAGTGACATCCTCCGCACTGCTCCAGGATGTCACTGCCTCTGCCTCAGCCTATTAACAGACATAGCCGGAGGATTTTGCAGGATTCAGGCAGTGGTCATCCCTCCATGCACCATATTCAAGAAATAATGGAGGAATTTGCAGGATTGAGGCTATGTGCTATTTTTCCATGAGGCCAATTGGAGGATTTTGCAGGATTGAGGCTACATCCTAGCAAAAAGGCCTAGGGAGTTAGGGTTAACAGTGAAAAGTCGCGTTACAGCTGCCGTAGCGATAGCCACTACGTAAAAAAAAGCTTGCAGGTCTGGTACCCAGACTAAATTTAACACCCCCCCCCCCCATTTAAGCCAATTCAACATCTCGTGTGAGCAATGAATTGTGGGCAGAATTTTGGATTATGAACAAACCCGTGTGATGCTGTTGGCTCGCAGTACTATCTACTGCGGCCTTTTTGCTGTTTCAACTGCGTGTGTGCACATCAGATTCAAAGATTTAGTTTCAGGAGATAAACAAAGCAGATGAAGGCACACAGGTCTCTGCACACAAGTCGCCTACCGGTACATTATACTTGAAATCCTCCGCACTGCTCCAGGATGTCACTGGCTCTGCCTCAACAAATTGACAGTGATTGCTGGAGGATTTTGCAGGATTGAGGCAGTGGCCACCCCTCCAAGGACCACATTCAAGAAATACCGGTAACGGAGGATTTTGAAGGATTGAGGCTGTATTTTTTTTTTATAATGAGGCAGTTGGAGGATGTTGCAGGATTGAAGAACTAGCAAAAAAATAAGGAGTTTGGTTAAGGCCAAAAAAAAAAGTCTCCGGTTTCTGGTATGCGCGCGTGTCGCCGTAGCCATGCGCGTCGGCAAAATGAAAAAGTTTTTTTTTCAATGAAAGATGATGTCTCAAAACCGCCAAACTCACTGGTTTGACTGGAATTCTGCTGCTGCGCAATTTCAACGTGTTTTTAGATGGGGTTATGATCGAGAATAAGCTTTATGTGGCCTCTCTGGACTCCCATATATTTGTACTAAGTTTAGTCGGGCACCATTTGCAGTCATCAGCCGACATTTGAAGCAAAAAACTCGGGTAAAAAAAAAAAAAAAGCCGCGTCGCCGCACCACTTTTTGGACAAGCTCCATACCAGAAACCGGAGACTTTTTTTTTTTGGCCTAAAGTAAAAGTCCCATTTTCTCCAAATCAAGTCTTTGTTCATGCCTAATAATATTTCAGCACTACTACATTGTAAAAACGATTTTCTTGCATTAAAAGAAAAATAATGCTTATTTCAAGAAATATTTTCT